GCCAGTGTCACAGCAGAGGGGAAATGCGGGCTGCAATCGATGCCAGCGTCACAGCAGAGGGGAAATGCAGGCTGCAATCAATGCCAGTGTCACAGCAGAGGGGAAATGCAGGCTGCAATCAATGCCAGTGTCACAGCAGAGGGGAAATGCAGGCTGCACACAATGCCAGCGTCACAGCAGAGGGTAAATGCAGGCTGCAATCAATGCCAGTGTCACAGCAGAGGGGAAATGCAGGCTGCAATCGATGCCAGCATCACAGCAGAGGGGAAATGCAGGCTGCAATCGATGCCAGTGTCACAGCAGAGGGGAAATGCAGGCTGCACACAATGCCAGCATCACAGCAGAGGGGAAATGCGGGCTGCAATCAATGCCAGTGTCACAGCAGAGGGGAAATGCAGACTGCAATCAATGCCAGCGTCACAGCAGAGGGGAAATGCAGGCTGCACACAATGCCAGTGTCACAGAGGAAGGGAAATGCAGGCTGCAATCAATGCCAGCGTCACAGCAGAGGGGAAATGCAGGCTGCACACAATGCCAGCGTCACAGAGGAAGGGATTCCCACCAGGTTCATATAGACATGACCAGATTCCATCTCATCTTTCTTGACTCCACAAACCAGGACACGGTCGTTCTTTCACTCTTCCCCTTCCCAGCCAGGCAGTCCAGCTGGATGGCTCCTCCGCCGGGGCCAGGCCTTTGCCCCTGTGGGTAAACCTCCCTTCTGCCAGCACCTGGCACCCAGACACCACTGCTGTAGGGCACCCTGTCCCGTCCCAAGTCGGTTCGTGGGTGTCCCGAGCCTGAGCCAGGCTCCCTTGGGCTCACCTGAGGGGTGCAGAGAAACTAACAGGCCCAGGCTCCTGTCTCTCCTGACCAGAGTGGGCCGGTGAGGGTCCACGAGCTTTCTCTAAGATGCCTCTGGAGAAGTGCTGGAGCCGCCACGGGTTCGGAAGTGAGTCTGCCTTGTCCCCATGGCTCTCCTCCCGGGCTCCAGCAGCAGGCCATGACAGCTGCAGCTCTCACTACCCCCCGAGAGGACGCTGTGCCAGACTCGCACACCACAGCCTGTCCAAGACCTGCCCCACTGCAGGCCATCCACGGGGAGGGTGCCCTCAGCTCCCTCCAGCAAGCTGCCTCACCTGTGCAAGCAGGTGTCCTGGTAGAAGGCCTCCTCCAGGGCCAGAAACATCTGCTGCCTCCTCAGACTCGTGCAAGCCCACCACAAAAATTAACCTCATGGCAATTGTTTTCCTCAGTTTGATAGCCCAGTGTCAGCTCATCCGTTACAGGGAAATAAAAAAGTCAAGCCTAAATGTATAAAAAATTATGATGGAAGTCCTAAATAAAGCGGGGACTGCAAGCTCATTGAGTCAAAAATCAATCAATCAATGAAGGAGTGGATTAGGAGAACCTCATAAGCCCCAAAGAAATAATTTGCCCAAACACTGGGATTTAACGGTGGAGGACCAAATTCCAACACTTTTAGGAAGTAAATAATGAAAAATCAATTCAGAGGAAAAACAGATCAAGAACCCTGACTCTGACGTGCCGACACATTTATTGCTCTATACCATTTCTCGGCTGACCCGAAAACTTCGGAAGGTGTTTATTTACTTTCAACACCTTCCAGAGATCAATATTTTTAATTTGGATCCGAGTTATTATTTTTCACATCACAGCAGCGGGGAGCAGCGTAAAGTGGCTCATATTTTAGTGCTAAGAAGATCGATACGACAGTTTCACCTTCACTGCAGCCCGGCCGCTGCCCGGTGCACATCCCGGCGTCCCGCGGGGCCGGCGGGGCCGAGGGGCCGCAGCCGGGAGCAGGTCATCACCCATCGTGGGCGACAGCCATGATTTAGCTGAGCACGGAGCACCCGGCGCCCTCGGAAAACCAATCTTGCTCTGCTCACTCCATCAGGCCTACCTCAGGTGAGGAGGAGGAGAGAAGGCCCTGGCGGGGAGAGGGCCACGGCCAGCAAGAGATCAGTCCCCATCACAGACGCAGCTGCCTCTCCCCACCCTTCCTGGAAGGACACCAGTAACTCCATTAATTTCCCACCCATCTCCTTCCCAGTCTTCCTTAGGAGAAGATGCAGCAGGGCAGTTGTGGTGTAGAGACAGGCGCTGTGGGAAGGGTGTCTCCCAGGAAGGGCCACCTTCTACCCTCTGCTGGGCAAAAGTTCTAGTGGGCACGGGAGGGCGTGGCAAGCCACGCGAAGGCAGGACAGATGTCTCCTGGAAAAGGCACCTGGCACGTCTGGGTGGTCTCCTGTAGCAGAGGAGTGGACACTCTAGGCCTGCATCCCTCCAGGAAAGCCCAGAGCAGAGCAACCAAGGCAGGCAGGGCGCTGGGGGGCGGGCCCTCAGCCCCAGGAGAGACCAGGGCAGCCAGGAAGGGAGCCCCAGGCAGGACATCCAGCCTGGCTGGAGGCCACATGGGCTGGGAGGAAGGAACAAGACCCCGCACAGGGCAGCATAGCGCAGTTCAGCGCAGGGGCAGGGGCAGAACCAACTACCCAACGGCGAGCAGCAGCCGGGCTCTGCTGCGGGGCCGAAGGCCTCAGTGAGGAGGATGACCTGTCTGGTGCCTGAGAGGAGAGCGTCAGTGTTGGTGTTGGAGCTGGTGGACTGAGCCCCTCCCCTCCTCCAAAGCCCCTCACTCTGTGACTCTTGCTGCTGCTGGCGCAGCGAGGTCACCAGAAGCCCATGTCGGACGCCCCCAGCACCACCCTGCCCTCACATCGCCCCCCACGCTATGCACAAGCAAGATTGCTGGGGCACCCACAGAGCCCAGGCCAGCAGGCCACCGTGAGGCTGGCACATACCCCGCCCGTCACTAGGAGCTCTAGCAGGTCAGGGGTGTGTACTGCGCAGGTCCTGGCGCAGGTCACGGTCCCAGGCCGCCCAGGGCCCTCCCTGAAGCAATCTGGCTACGTGAGCTTTGCTGGCCTGATTTTACACACAGAGGAGCACAGTGCCCACCTTCCAAGCAGCACAGGCTCTCCCCCAGCCTATAGACAAAGACGGCCTGCGGAGGATCAGCAAGGCACAGGCCTGCTCTCCCTCCTGCCCTGCTGGCGCCCAGTCCGGGCCTCCTCGGCCTCTCTCCTCCTCTGGCCATCACACCTGTACTAGTGCGAGGAGGGGGACAGCCCTCACATCCTGTCTCCACAGCCACTTTCACTTCAGGGCTCTGGGCCACGATCAACAATCCCAGCTCTCGCCAGCGCCCTCTTCACTAGGTGCAGAATGGTAACCAAACCAGGAGACGCGTGGTCTTTCCTGCTCCCGTGGGAATGTAGGTAACCAGCCGAACAGCCCAAGGCCCCTCAGAGCTGGCCATGTGGCCCCGAGGGGAGCAGAGCCCTAGACTTGGGCTTTGGAGCACTGATGCAGGCGCCAGTGCCTTGGATAGAGATTGCCTGAAAGGCTGAAAGGGCCTGGCAGCTCACAGGGGTATCGCCATCCCCCCAGAACACCTGGGGCCCACCACTGTGGACTTGGCCACCGTCTTTCTCTCAGGCTTCCCAGGCAGAACAGCAACCAACAAAGCAGTGACAAACACCCCATGCTTCAATGCTTTCATTCTGCAGCAAAACAAGACAGTGGTGGAATTATACGAAAATAAATTTGCAATTCCTTCCTCGTTTAGCCATTCTGAAGGTGGAGTACAGGAACGCCGCTAGCCTGCGTCCTCCTATCGACATGCCTGCTTGTCAGGGTGAGCGATGTGCTTTCCATGCTCCTCCACGTGGCCAGTTAAGTCAGACACACAATCACATGATTCCTAGACTGCTGAGCTCTGATCAATAGACACGGCACGGCCTTGGAAAACCCCTGAGCCCTTCCTCAGTGCCTGGTTGGCTGGGTGCTGTCCCAACTCCACTGGGGGTGCTATGAAGCTGACCCCGGGGTGTGTCCTGTAAGGTCATCTCCAGTGCAGGCAGAAGGTATGTCCACAGGCCGGATGGCAGGCCAGAGCCAAGCAGGGCCTGTTGGTGCCATCTTCCTCCAGGACTCCCTGAAGATCAGTGTCATCCGGACACAAAGCCAGATGTCGCTCACCCACCTTCAGTCCACACAGCTCAAGGTTCAGTGCAGTCACGTCCACCAGGGCCTTCCTCTGTGGCCCAGCCGGTCTCATCCAGCACACCACCAGGGAGCTCCTGGAACAGCCACGGTAGGCTCCCCGCTGCAAGGCCTGGAAGCATCCAAGGACCATCCTGACTCCATCTTGGAGCCAACTTGGTAACAGAAAGGCTCCTTGGGACTTGTTCAGCTGGTCTTCCTGAGGAGGCCCCAGCTTTGCCGCTTCAGCTGGTCTTCCTGAGGAGGTCCCAGCTTTGCCACATGCCCAGTGCATGCACGGGTCTTCTCTGGAGTCGGTCACCAGCAGGACCAGTGCACAGGAATGTTCTCACGGCTCTGCCCTCACTGAGCTGATCTTGCCAGCGCTGGGCGAGTGCCCTGGTGACAGTGCATGTCTGCATCAGAGCCCATGCACTGGACGCCAGAGGCCCCTAGGAAAGTAAGCGGTTGGCGTTCCAGGAGGAGCAGAGGGGTGGGCGGGCAGACTTGTGAGAGAAGAGCACAGGCATGGGGAGGGTGACGGAGATCCAAAGCAGGTTCCTGCCTGCTCTGCTCCTCCGTGCTCCCAGGTGCTCTGCCTCAGGCACCTGGACACGTGGCAGCCCTGTGCAGGGTTGTTCCCTGTGGCTCCTTCCCTGGGCATGCAAGGGCCCAGCGACAACCAACTCCACATCACCACGTTCCCAGCTCTGTGGTTCCTGGGAGGGGTGAGGGGAGGAGCCAGGGAGGGGGCTCTGAGCAGGAAAGAGAGCACGGCATGGTCTGAGTAGTGTTTTCCTCCTGAGGCACACAGCTTCCCCCCTGTGAGTCTCCTCTTGCCAGCAGCTGCAGCTAGAGCAAGTTGCAGGCTACACATGACCTTCCTCTGCAGAACAAACAACAGGCTTCACTGGCCACAGAGATGATACAGTCACAGGGTTCACAGGCCGCAAAGATGATACAGTCACAGGGTTCACTGACACAGAGATACAGTCCCAGGCTTCACTGACCACAGAGATACAGTCACAGGGTTCACTGACCACAGAGATACAGTCACAGAGTTCACTGACCACAGAGATACAGCCACAGGCTTCACTGACCACAGAGATACAGTCACAGGCTTCACTGACCACAGAGATACAGTCACACAGGGCTCACTGACCACAGAGATACAGTCACAGAGTTCACTGACCACAGAGATACAGCCACAGGCTTCACTGCCCACAGAGATACAGTCACCGGGTTCACTGACCACAGAGATACAGTCACAGGGTTCACTGACCACAGAGATACAGTCACAGGCTTCACTGACCACAAAGATACAGTCACACAGGGTTCACTGACCACAGAGATACAGTCACAGGCTTCACTGGCCACAGAGATACAGTCACACAGGGTTCACTGCCCACAGAGATACAGTCACAGGCTTCACTGACCACAAAGATACAGTCACCGGGTTCACTGACCACAGAGATACAGTCACAGGGTTCACTGACCACAAAGATACAGTCATACAGGATTCACTGACCACAGAGATACAGTCACAGGGTTCACTGGCCATAGAGATACAGTCACCGGGTTCACTGACCACAGAGATACAGTCACACAGGATTCACTGCCCACAGAGATACAGTCACAGGCTTCACTGACCACAGAGATACAGCCACAGGCTTCACTGACCACAGAGATACAGTCACACAGGGTTCACTGACCACAGAGATACAGTCACACAGGGTTCACTGACCACAGAGATACAGTCACAGGGTTCACTGACCACAGAGATATAGTCACAGGCTTCACTGACCACAGAGATACAGTCACAGGGTTCACTGACCACAGAGATACAGTCACACAGGCTTCACTGGCCACAGAGATACAGTCACAGGCTTCACTGACCACAGAGATACAGTCACACAGGGTTCACTGCCCACAGAGATACAGTCACAAGGCTCACTGACCACAGAGATACAGTCACAGGCTTCACTGGCCATAGAGATACAGTCACACAGGGTTCACTGACCACCGAGATACAGTCACACAGGCTTCATTGGCCATAGAGATACAGTCACAGGCCTCACTGGCCACAGAGATACAGCCACAGGCCTCACTGACCACAGAGATACAGTCACACAGGGCTCACTGACCACAGAGATACAGTCACAGGCTTCAATGACCACAGAGATACAGTCACACAGGGTTCACTGGCCACAGAGATACAGTCACAGAGTTCACTGACCACAGAGATACAGTCACACAGGGTTCACTGCCCACAGAGATACAGTCACAGAGTTCACTGGCCACAGATACACACGGACCTTTGCCAACTTGCTGATGACAAAGGAAGGAGCAAACTCACTCTCTCAGGGGCAAACACAAAAATGTGACTGCAATTTAGACACAGGAGGCTGCCAGGGCGCCAGTGACCTTTCCAGCTCCCGGAGGATACTGCCAGCAATGGTTCAGGGTCAGGAGGGCCCTGATGCTGCGGCGACTAGCGCTGCCCGCCTCCACACACACCGAAGCCCAGTCCCTGCTCCCTGAGTGCTGCCACAGAAGGCTAGGGTGGGGCCCGGAGGTCAGGAGGCCCCTGGCTTCCACCTGGCTCCCTTCCTTTATTCCATGTAGTTACTTTTTGTTGTTGTTGTTGCTGGTCATGAGGCTTGAACTCTGGGCCTGGGCGCTGTCCCTCAGCTCTTCAGCTCAAGGCTAGCGCTCTACCACTTGGGCCACAGCGCCACTTCTGGCTTTTTCTGCTTATGTGGTGCTCAGAAATCGAACCCAGGGCCTCATGCATGCGAGGCAAGCGCTCAGCCACCTTCCCAGCCCTATTCCATATAGCTACTTTTTACTTTGTTTTCTTAGAAAACATTTCATCACGTGGAGAGGGCGTGCCACTGCCCCCCGGCAGCTCTCACGCCAGTGTGCCTCTGTCTCTCCAGCTCCGAGCATGGGCTCAGAGCAATGGTGTCAGTCCTTCACCACTCCGCCTCAGATCCTCTTCGTCACCGACTCAAGTACACTTTGAGTGTTCAGAACATGTGTGGCATGAGCCCAGGCTCCAGGCAGAGCAGGAAGGGGGCGGAATGTCATTCTCATGAGTGTAAGCCTAGGGGAGACAGTGAAGCAGAGCCCTACCGGGCTGTCCACCAGCGGTGTCCGCTTGGAGGGTGGGAACAGCACACGGGTTCCGCCCCTCATGAGGCTCAGATTGGATCACACAACATCCAGGGCCGGTCTCTGCCCCAGGAACAGGCCTCTCAGTGCTAACACCCTACACACCAGACGGGAAACAGGGCCAAAGGCCCAGACACATGACACCACCTTCCACAAAAGCTCAGCAGGCAAGGAAGTGACCATGGCTGCCGGGGGAGGCCAGCCAAGGAGTCCTGTCTTTATGGCCTCTGCTTACATCAACAGCCAACCATCACAGTTCTGTGAGCACACAGAAGTTAATGTTGCCATTAAAGCTAAAAATCCCCTTAAGAGCAGCTCCTGCAGGGAGCATCTGGGCTGCAGGTGCTCCACTGGCGCCACCTCCTGACAACTATTGCCATCTGCAAGCCTCCAGCTTCTTCCCACCAAGCCCCTGGAGAGCCCTACCACCAGTGGCAGCAAGAGTCCCTCCTCCACACACACCAGACCGAGCAACAGGAGCTGTGGGGAACTCCCCAGACCCACCAACAGGAGCCACGGAGAACTCCCCAGACACACCAACAGGAGCAGCAGATCCTCCCAGACCCACCAACAGGA